TGGTTCGTTGTTCCACTAATAGACACATCCCATGGAATCGGACTGACTCTTCTCAAGCCCGTGCATTAAGAATGTCTGTCATGTTTGGTATTGGAGAAGAGGTAGAGTCAGATGTTTTTGCGCACAATAGTAAATCTCTTGCATACCGACCCGGTTTCCAACAAGAATTCTTCAAACTCATGTAAGTTAGAGAAGCCAATGACCTCCCTAATCACCTTTCCCCCTCTTCCCTACCTGCTCCTTGATTACTTAGAAAATTCCTGATGATCTAGTTACGACCATACTCCTGCATATATCAAGCTTCCAGAATACTTCCGAACTCATTCTAAAGAAGATCTTTACGATCTGACAAAGGGACCATACGCCTATGGCCATGGATTAGAAGGAAAAACTTATTATGAAGCAATTTCTCATACTCCAGAGCGTCTCCATATGTTTAATACGACCATGGTATCCATGGAAAGACAATCTCCAATTACCGGCATGTATCCATTCGCTACACTCAAGGATGCAGTCGAAGCGGAAAAAGCGAGACCATTTGTGGTGGACATCGGAGGTGGAAGAGGCCAAGCTTTACTTGCTATTCAAAAAGAAGCACCTGAAGGTTTTGGGGCAAAGATGATTCTTCAGGATAGATCAGATGTTCTGGAAAGTTTAACTGAGCAAGATATTCCCAATATTGAGAAAATGGTTTATGATTTTCATACACCCCAACCTGTTAAAAGTAAGTGACTCAGTATATTTCATTCACGTGGATCAGCTTAGACGGGTTATGTGATCGGTTAAAGGGGTGCATTTGGGGAAAGTCAGAGATAGAAGTACGGTGGTTGAAAGACTTAATGATTTGGTGCAGAAACCCAGATGGAAATGGAAATCTAACACAGAACAGATGCTCATGTCTACTTCATCCGACGCATCCTCCATGATTTTTATGAACCAGTCTGCGTTCAACTCCTTAAAAATATCGCATCGGCTATGGGCCCTACATCCCGCGTGGTGATTGCTGACATGATACGACCAGAGAGGACTGATGTTGGTGGTGAAATGATGATTTATTGGATGGACTTTTGTATGATGATGTTGAATGGAAAGGAGAAGAGTGAAAAAGAGTTCAGAGAGATTATCGATGCAGCTGGATTGGAGGTCATCAAAATCTGGAGGTATCCAGTTGGAACGCAGGCACAGATCGAGTGTCGATTGAAAAGAGTATAAATAATAAAGTATTGGCTATACTATCTACATAGTAATAGGTAGCTCAATCGATAGATTTTGGGTGTTCTAATTTTCTAGACCCTATGATACTTCAAGTTGTATCAAAAAGTATCACAATGTGATAGTCGAGGAGAAGACAGAGAAATGAATAATAGTAAATCATGTCATACGAAAATAATCGACTCACTTACAAAAGAGGTAAAAAGTACAAAATCTATATAATTTATTCTCAACAGAAAGACTTAATTCAAGAAGAAGAGATTAAAGCAAAGATATTTTTATAGTCATTTAGTCACATTTCAAGATCTGGAACTCAATTAAAGCAAAACGTGTTTTTATTATTTTCACTCTAGAAACGGTTTTCTAGATTTTTTTTTTCAACTCCTAACTCCTAATCAACTATCTTATAAATGAAAAGAATGTTTTTTGATTTCAAATTTCTGTTAAGTCTCGTGATAAGTCACCAAATACTCGCGAGTATCCAGTCCAGTCTTACCCATCAAACAAAGCAACAAAGCAAAAGAACAAAGAAAAAGATGAAGAAACTCCGCTGGAATCCTCTCGAAGACTGACCGTTACGTAAGCATTGCTCGCAATACTCGACCCAGATGGGATCTTGACCGTTCCAGGAGGGGGTCGTTCGTCCCGATGCGCAATCGCTGCATGGGGTTCCGATGAATTGGTGGCTGAATCCACCGCAGCAGCAACACCTGACTACCTCGTAGTCACAGTAGTTGCATTGCTCTTGGTAACCTGACATATTTGAGGATTTGGATTCAAGATTTTGAGTGTTTATCTTGTGAATGTTTTGAAGGTTTCAAGATGCTGCTGAGAGAATCTTGTGATGCGATTTTACAGATATAAATATAAATCTGCCTGGAATTGTTCACGGATTATTCTCTTATAGTTCCCATTGAATAATGACCTAGTTTCATGCGGCTGGAGAATCACATACCGACTTGAGTCTTTTCTGGTATTGTTCACATGAGATGGGATCATGATATTGTTGTCTAGTCATTATAGCAAGCACCGCATGGTTTCAAGAGAGTTTGTAAGTCAGAAAATATCTCACAGATCCAGCGTACTCGTGTCTTCATTAAACCGAATGACTCAGGATATTCCACACGTTTCCAAATGGATGAGAGGAGTTTCGCTATTGAATCTAACGCAAGCAATTCACACAGAGTTGCAAGACTTGAAGACCAGCGATGATTGGATGGAGCAAATGGGGGAGAGTAACAAGAGACAAGGAGGACAGTAAACAATCACAGGAGCTTTATATTACGCCGTCGTTACTGAGGGTGTCGAGACAGAGACGAAGAGTTTGAATTTGGAACTCAGACATTAAGAAGTCAAAGTGACTAACAAAAACCAATACATTACAATGTCTCACAGACAAACAGAACCAGAAGGTGCCGGCTCACTCACTCACGATTTAGGAAAGCATCAAAACCCAACGAGTATCCAAAGAAACAGGGCTAGAGTGCAAAATAGACAACCATTCTAGATCTACAAATATACTTGCGAAACCGACACATCCAACAGACGAAGGCGCGGCGACCATGATCGCGAGCTCAGCGTCAGTCATCAGGAATTCACAAGTCACTATCCGGGATTCACTTGACGATTATTTCGCTAGTATTTAGAGTACATCTATTCTTCTCCAGTTGCAATAGCAGGAAACACTGGTCATTTAGGCTAGAACATGTGACGTATTTAATTCCTGACCATCTTAATACTCTATTCCCAATTCCCCTGCCTTGCTGAACCCAAAGCTATCGAAGCGAGTGCAGTGGCAACGAAAACCAGCATCAGAAACTCATCTCCAGATCGCCCCACTCGCCCTCTAATTCTTTGATACCGCAGAATGTGCTTCTCGGAATGCTAATTCTTGTATCCGAATCCCTATCATGGTATAACGCACCATAGCGGTCTGTGAAAGCAGCATGCAGCATGTCTTCAAACTCCTTTCTTTTATCCTCCCAGCGCGAGTACTCCCTAAAGCCCCTTTTGCCTTGTCCTATATCATCTGCTGGGTCTTCCTCCTCGGTACATTTGTTTTTCTCATCTCCACCTCCTAAGAAATTAATATTGTATTCTTCGTCCTACTCCTCGTCATCATCAGTCTCGAGTGCTTTTCCATGTTGCTTGCGTATTAATTTTTCGATCCTCAAACATCTCCTTTCAGTGAGGTAATGTCTCCTGGGTCCAGACTCCACATATCTTCCAGGTCCCAAAGACCGGAGTTGAAGAGCGGATTTCCTCATACTATATTTGAGCAGATTCTCAGGCTTGGCCCACAAAAATATGATCTCCTTCAGGTTAGGAAAGACGCGAGCAATTTCATAATTTTCGTTGCTATCAAAATAAGGCCAACTTAAAGGATCGAGAATGGCAACTCGGATACTCTCTTTTTCAATGGTGCTGAGCTCGTGAGTCACTCTCTCGAAACCACGTTCGACGTGACAGCAAATGCCCTCCGATCTTGTCCCGTTGAGATTATAGAAGACTGTCCTCGAGAGAATTGATGGTGGTTCTGGGACTGACATGATGGAACTAAATGACGTAAGACCTTGTTTAATGTTAGTGCATCAGCAATACCATTGCATTTTTGAGTACAAAGATCTTACAGGAATGTGCAGTCTATGCAGAGTGACCGGGCCGGAACGCTTTTTCTTGGTGAATTTGAAGTCAACGTTTTGTTGCATCGGGAAAAAAACCGGAATCCGGGTGGAGTGAGAAGCTGAAAATCATTGCAAAATAGAAGGGAGGGGTTTAATTCATATGCTCGAGCCACCTTTGCTCGTCGGGGTCAAATAGAAAATATCTCAAACGAAAACTTTGAATGAGAATCTGAGCAGTGAGCACTTTGTACAAAGCAACCAGTACCTATCCGAAACAAGCAGAATTCTTCATGTATGATCCTTTTCAAACAAGCAACCAGCACAAAAGAAGCCCGTGGCTCAGATATGATATCTCAGGATCTATTAGCATCACCAAATCCACTGAGCTGATCTGTACATCTGATTACAAAATTCCTTGTCCTTGTGATGTAAAGTTTGTAGAAGATGCGAAGTAGCTGGGGTTATGTCTCTTGATTGGGTGTTATAAAACCTGACAGCCTTCATAGATGCGAATATGAGGCAGGCTGAAAAACGCGTGCAAAGTAAGATCTTACATTCCCCATCAGACAAAGCTCAAAAACTACAACTGGACATCCCGCAGGCAGAATTCACGGAGAACATTCCAACCATTTTCAATTTTCAATTTTCAAAGTCAAAATCAAAAATGAGCAATCAGCTTGCTCTTCACTCGAAGCAATGAAGCTCGCCATCTATGATCCCCAAACAATCACCTTGTCAGTTATCATTCACCTCGTCTTACAGGTTGTGACAACACAAGTTCTTTCTTCTCGCCTTGGTCAAAGTCAAAGTAAAACGACATCTCAGAGAATACCATGACATTGCTGTTGAAAGTACCAAAATCTCGAACAAAAACAATCTCGAACTCATCACAGCAAAAGCACTTCATAGCTCGAACTTTCAGGCCACTCTTCACGGATACTCAACGCTAGAAGTTACAACCATCTCGCAAATCAAGAAAAGTCAAGTCGTTTTCATGTCTCAAATTGCGAAAGCATCCAAATGGAGTTTCGAAGGGGCGCTATATAATGGCGGACCTTCAGCTTATCATATGCATCCCATATACGCCGCGATGACCAATTTTCCCCAATTTTCCCCAATTACACTTTTATACAATTACCATTACATTGAACTCGAGCTTTCTGCCTAAAACCCACCTCCAGAATGTAAAACCCCACCCACAACTTTTCCCAGAACTCCCCTAATCCCATTCCTGTTCTCTCCTACACATGTAAAAACAACCGCCGTCCCCCAAGCAAAAATTGCTCTCTCAATCCACTGCTCCTCCCATCTATACCTCCTCGGCAGAAGTGTAGCTAATGCTCTTGGTGCTACAAATAATCCCATCTCTTCCCTCCTCTTTGCACTTTCTATAAGTACACTCCATCCACACATCCAACATCCGGTTCCTATACAATATCCTGAATCGATGGCTTGGCAGGCGTGGGGAGATGTACCAAGGATCTGAGGACCGAATTTAGTACGAGTCAGACAGATACCATAGTAGAAAAGTGTTATGAAAGTAGAGAGAAAGGCCGAAGAACGAGCTGATGATTTGAGGGCATGAGTAAGAGCTTTTTTCGAAACTTTTGGGTTACGGAAAATAAGTGCCAAGTTTAGTGGCAGATACATTGAAGCAGACCAAATAAAAGATTTATAAAATCTAGACACCGCATGGAATTCACAGCTTGGACCAGCACCCATGTGGACCAATTCACAGGGGAATGGGATGGATTTTGTAGGGTCCCCATACTCTTCTGGTAGACCATAATCTTTGCACACATCTCCTAGGAGATGTGCTTGACCTGTTTCGACTCCATATTTTAGTTCACCATAACGACAATAGCGGAGAGCTTTTAGTAGACGAGAATCCACTTGAGCGGCGGATTTGATCCATTTGTTGTAGGCGCTTGGAAGACGAGCGGGGGTGTAAATGAAAGCCCACATTATTAGAGCGCAGGATGTGGCGAACAAAGCTGGGTCTGTGAGGGATGAGATTGTTCTGTCTACCTAATATACCAGTCAGCAGTGCATTTAGAGGCTATTCGAGTATTGGTAGCTTACCCTCGACCACCTGCCAGAAAACTGCCGCCGGCTCTTCCTTCTAGCCCATAATTCCCCAACTATGCAATCAACGGCTCGAGTAAAAGCGAATAATGTCAAGTCTAGAGTTCTTCCCGCAAACCGAGTAGGGCGTAATTCGATTCCATTTTTGGTTTCATATGGTAGATCTTCAGTGAAAGTTTTACTTGGACGGGATTGAAGTAATTTGAGACTGAAGTAAGCTGATATGAAGGTTGAAAGATAGCGAGTGAGCCTAGAAAATCTTATATCAGCATGGAGAGTCGGAAATGAATTCCACTGCCACAATGATCTAGACGGGAGGTGGGACTGGTTAGGATATTATGTATAGCATTCAATGCTAAGCCCATTCTTCCTCTCACTCGAAGTTGGTGAAGCCCATTCTACATTACAGAAATCCAACAAACCTGAGCTGGGTGATCACAGATAGATTTCCCAATAACCTCTCAAACAATTCCCGTAAAGGAATCTAGATCGGCAGTCAGCATCATCCTCATCGTTCACCATGACCACCTCTCACGTGCCTGTAATAAAGTACTGCCTCCGACCAGCGCCGCACAAAATGTTGGAAACCTTTGTATCTCTAAACCCCCTTTCAAAATTCCAAGTAACGAAGTCCAGAAATAACCTTCACCATCGGGTCTTGGGTCAATATTCTTCCGATGTCGACTCAAGTGAAGCAGAAAAAGCGTCAACAGTCTTGGTCCTGCGCTTGATGCATAACCTAAGATGTAAGCTCGAAATAGCGGTCGTAGTATGATCGGAATTGCTGCATCCAAACTTTGATACGGCTTCCTCGATGGTAATTCTTGCATTTTGTAGTCAATAGTCTTTGGGCATCAAAATCTCTAGCGGTGTAACTGTGCAAGATCAGCATTACTATCCCAAGAAGCAGACACTAAATCTGCACTCGCCGCAGATGAATGAATTATATCGTCATATGATGTAAACAAGGTCCAGAGAGAGCACAAATTAGAAGACATATGGTTAGCCTTGCGATGTCTTGTCAAAAGAGGTATTTACCGACATGATGAGGTGACATTACAACTGCATGTTGCTTGAATGCAGATGGGCCGACTCGATAATAATACACATGTAGAGGGGGCTCGAGGGGGGGAAATCATACCTAGCTCGATTGAATGAATTAAACCTATTGAAGGTGGTGTATACCCGTTTTAGGTATTTACCCCCGGAATGATGGTTTGATGAAAATGCGGAGGAAGATGGAGAAGGTAAAATCCCCGTGCCGCAGATGTTTTTGACCTCGGCGCGAAAAGATTCAGGGAATTTGACGAAAGGAAGAACAACGAAAGACAAAGAAAGGTATGTACGGCAGTACTAAAGAATTGAAAATTAAGGATACACAAGTAGTGTGAAGATTGGATGACTGATTGACACGTTCGATCGCGGTGATGATAAGATGTTGGGATATCTTGATTGTTTCACTGCAGGACTGAAGTATGCAATTTGATGCATTCGTTGACTTGCTTGCCAGCTTGCTTGGTACCGAATTTGAAAGCTAGGATGAAGAACGCCACATTGAGAAATATGCAACGTTTCCAGGTTATGTGAAGAAACAGTATTGATACCGAGATTGGAATTGGGAAAGCCGACACGGCTCAACACTTGATACCGGCTCGGAAATGGTCAAGATTGAGATTGAAGTGGACCTAGGTATAGTTTTTTTTTTTGGTTCAAGGGGGAGGGAGGAGGTGAGGACAGGATATAATTCCTGCAAGTAATGATGATCAATTCGCAAACAGAGTCATGTTTGTTGTACCAAAAGAAGCCGAATGAGGGAGGGGTCACTGATGCAGGTACGATGATACGGAAAGTGGTGTTGAATTATCGCTGCTGGTGGGTAGATGTAGGGGGGGAGTGATATGCGATGGGAGATGTAAGATGTAAGATGGGAGATGTAAGATGGGAGATGTAAGATGGGAGATGTAAGATGTAAGATATATGATGTGAAGTTTTGAGATGAGATACTTTGTAGAGTGGTCGAGTGATGGGGATGAATAGGTTAGTGCTGCGTGGATAAGACTGGTAGGCTTGTGAGTACTAGTGAAGTATGTTGAAGTAGTTCTGGACAATAAGATGATGGATTTCTTCCTCCTTTCTCGATTCAGCAAGTGAATAGTAAATGTAAGGAGGAGGTCAGTACTAGGTCAGTACTAGGTAGGTATTAATGACAATGTCTCATACTCTCTCTCTTTCGCTTCTCACATCTCGGGTCACGCGTCTCTCTCATTGAATCATTTGTTCCCCTCAATTTCCCTAGCTACTACTGGTATTAAGTGTCTTGTTATGTTCATCACACTTCACTTCATACTTGACATTGCGCACCCAACTTGTATTTCACACCTCACTCACATTTACTAGGTACCTAATTAGACTGGGGCTCGCCATTCCTTGCCTTTTGCATTTGTATGGACGGCATGTACCGATTTAAATTCCCACACACACGCTACCTCCCTAGGTACATATGTATCATGTACTGAGTAATGAACGAGATAAATACAGATTCTCTCATCACATCACATTACGAAGAAAAGAGGCATGCGAGCGTGCCTAGGTAAAACGGCCCCACATGATATTAGTGAGGTTAGTGTACGTTGAAAAAAGACCGGGCGTCGGTAGGAAGGGAACTTAGGGAAGGGAAGGGAAGGGAAGGGAAGGGAAGGATGAAAAGAAAAGAAAAGAGTAGAAAAGAGTAATCCGTCTGCGAAATTGACATGTGATTGTTCTATGACCCTTCTCTCCAAACAAGCGTCCACCAGTGGTGGTCCATACCACAATACGATCATGATCCGACCTAGTCCCAGTGAAGTGTGATCCCAGGGAACGGTGGACGGCGGACGGCATGAATAACGGCATGAACATCCACAAGATCATCAACACTAAGAAGAACTAAAACAATCAATTCTATTATACATAGCACGTCGAGCCTCGAATACATGGTAGCTAGCTACGGAGTATACGATAGCTATACGTACACAGAAACATTCGTAGAGTAACTCGCTCGAGTAGTCCTAAATCTTCCGAAGGGTCAAGCTTCATGTGTCTTGTCTTGTCCATTCACTATGCCCTGCTAGCTAGCTGCTATGTCTTTGCGATGCCTTGCCGTGTCATCCTACCCGTTGCTCATTCTCTCTTTGGCTTGGTTTGACTTGACTTGACTTGACTTGACTTGACTTCACTTCACTTCACTTCACTCCAACGGTAACAATCCCCTCACATTGAATCAAAATCAGCTTGGCCCACATGGAAACTCTCGGAAACAAGATTCTACTCCAAGATAGATATCGGATGTCAATTGTTCTCTCGTGTGCCACATTGGAAATTCCAGTCTATCTCAGTCAAAAGTTACTTACGGAGTAGAGATGTAAATACCTACGTAGTAGGTAAAGAGGTAGCTACCGATACTTCGCTTCGTATCCTAACCTAGGATGTATTTATATATATATATATATCTGTTACCCATAATTATAGTTGTATTTAAACCAAATATATAAAGAACATCTAGTCATCAGTAGACAGCAGACTTGTCAATCGAAAAGTTGCACTGTCCTTTGATAAATCTATTTGCTCTCCTTGTCTTCTTTTGTCCTTGTCCTTCTTCTCTTCCACCTACTCTCTCCCCTCTCCCCTCCTCCAAGGAAATTCAAGCCGAGAAAGCTCGATCTTTCTTCGTGGACCCTTTCTTTCCTTTACCCCAAAGAGAAACCTTGAAAGGATTAGCCCCCCCGGAGCCCCCCTCATACCTAATACCTAACACCTACCTCCCAGGTACCTAAGCTTGCCATCAAAAATTGATTCTTGGTCTGTTCCCCACCACAAGGCCAATGAGGAAAGCTTTCCCAACACTCTTACTCGAATCTCACGCTCACCCTCACGCTCACCCTCACCCTCACGCTCACTCACACTCTCTTCCAATATCTTTCTTTGATTCGGAATAATACATTCATTCGTTCACTCAATTTAATGTTCCTCAAATCATTGATTCCTTCTTCCTTTCGAATAAGGATCATGGAGGAGTGAGAAAAGTCTTCGCCCTTTGTTACCTCACGTATATTATTTTTTTCCAATCTCTCTCAAACAACCTGCATCCTATCGACGAGTCGTACCTTTCTGGAGGAAGTAAACAAATACTAGGTTGATATCACACGGAATACATCATTGAGCTATCGGTCACACAGCTATCTAATAACGCCGAATCGCAAAAAAAATCTATCATTTTGTACATATTTGATACTGGAATCCTCGATACTCAATGGTCAATACTTTATATCCTCACTAAATTCCCTCGGGATCTCTTCTCACGAATCTTCTTTTTCAATTAATTTCTTTTGGCACTCATGCTTGCGATTCAACGTCTTAATATGGGTTCGTCGAAGCCACCCGAACTTGATATGCCATTTGGCTGTGAGTATCTCTTTATACTTCTCAATATGTACCTGGTTACAAAATATACATACTAATATGATGGGTCAGATGCATTTGATTCAAATTCCACTTTTCCTTTCCCTTCACCTACAGCGCCAGCACCAGGTCCGCCATTACTCGATGATAGCGAATCCAACCTTCTCGATACTTTCTTTGACGGAGTAAGCTCTGATCATTTTAATTACGACTTCTTCCCAAATACACAAGATGGAGGAGAGCTTGGAGGAGGGTGGGAAGAATTACCCCCGGCATTTATGGGAACGAGGGTTACTTTTGATCAACAACCTCAACTTTCGAATCCAACGTCCTTGAATTTCGGTGATAGGAATACCGGAATGCATCCACCATTCTCTCAAGCACCTTTGTCACATTTGCCACCTTCGACTGAATCCGCAGATGTTTTAGCAGCTGCTACCGTGTTACAAAACGGATCAAATGCTCGATCGCATAGTTTAAGCAGTGAAACTTTATTTGGAAATCATGGCTTACCATCGCATCCGGGAAATCATCACGTCAGACCACAATCCATGTCGCATTATCCTACTCCAACATCAGGACTGGACAGACCTCGAGATGGATTTATGCGCGATACTTTATATACCGAAATGATGTTTGGACCAAACCATGCTGGCCCAGACTTGATGAGAAGACCAAAACCCGTTCCTCAAAAAGTCGACATAAGATGGGGTTCTGATGCAGGATTTGGATCACCACAAGGATTTGTTCCACCACCAAATGTAGCAAAAGTCGACGAAGCGGAACGACAAAGATTGCAGGCATTCGATGGATTTATTGGAGCAGCTCTATGTGCGGAAAGTAGTGCGGAAAACACGAGACCGAACAGTCCGACAATGCAAAAGAACATACCACCGCAACGACGGCAAAGCTCGGGAGTTGTCAAGGAAGAAGATACGGAGCCACCAAAGAAGCGACGAAAGAGTAAATTTAGTCCTGTTGAAGATGCGGGAGAAGACGATGAGGAACCACAGCCTAAAGTGGACGGTAGGAAGAAGAGGAAATCCGTGGTGAAAGTTAGTGGGAGTTCCCCAGGACCATCGGAAGCAGGTCACAAACGACGAAAATCTACTTCGGCTGCGGCAAAATCTACCAGAGAAAATTTAACAGAAGATCAAAAGAGAGAGAATCATATCAAGAGTGAACAAAAACGAAGGACTTTAATTCGAGAAGGCTTTGAGGATTTAGGGGAATTAGTACCAGGGCTAAGAGGTGGTGGGTTCAGTAAGAGTGCGATCTTGGTAATGACGGCCGATTGGTTAGAGGAGTTAATGCAAGGAAATGAAGCTCTACGGAATAAGATCGATACTGCGAAAGGCAGATGAGATTGAGGGACGAGTCATTGATCACTGTTCTTGCGCATGATCATTCCCACAGTAAAATCCTGGAAAGGGGCCATCAAATTTCGACAGCAAACTGATCCGAATTCCTGGAGTGAAAATGGGAGGGCATGTAGTGTCCATGGAGTTTGGTGTTTGGTTCTATGGGCGGAATTCAGAGACCGTACGCAATGAGTAGCTTCCAGTCTCTCTAGCATACAGGGTTTGAGGCGAAATAAAGATACCACGTGGAAATGATGGACATATCATACCAGATCTGCAATCATCTTGTGGAAAAGGAAATGAATTTAATTGGTAGTAAGGACTACCTAGTTGGTTATCAATGAGGGAATAAGCACACACTGCACAGTAGCAGTATAGCAATGAATTATAAAAGTTCGATCAGATTAAATTAGGGCTTAAACGTATACATTCTCATTGATTATGCTCTGTATGGAAACTCAAGTTGAGCAGATTCCACTTCTGACGTTTCTAGCAATTTTTGTATTTTCAACTCCTATTTGCATCACGTTCTATTTGTGAAATTTTGAATCGCATTACACCAACTCGAGTCTTTTTCTTGCCAAAAGATCTCTCGCTCCCACTGGTCAAATCCAATTTCCTACTATCAGTTTCATCCAAGTACTAGGTATGCTCTTTCAAACTCAGCTTGTCGTTATAATCTTTCTTATCTTTGGCATTGACATAAGAATAAGAATATCAAACCATCAATCAATATACTCAAGGTGCTGGCTGCATGGATATTTTCAGAAGAAGAAAAAAAAAAACCATATATCGGCAATATAAGAATAGTCTTGTTTTGCATATGATTGATGATCTCGGGAGGTAGATGTATTTTGATGTTGGGTTTGATAATGGGTTGTGGGTTGTGGGCTGTGGGCTGTGGGCTTTTCATGAATTGATATTGGGTGGGGAGTTGGTGGGAGGAGCTGGAGGATGGGTGGTATGGTATGGTATGGTATGGTATGGTATGGTATGGTATGGTATGGTATGGTATGGTATGGTATGGTATGGTATGGTATGGTATGGTATGGTATGGTATGGTATGGTATGGTATGGTATGGTATGGTATGGTATGGTATGGTATGGTATGGTATGGTATGGTATGGTATGGTATGGTGGATACTCTTGGATTAGATTTTGTTTGGATTTTGTTTGGATTTTGTAGATTGGTATTGAGATGTTGATATTTGGATGAGATTATTTGGTGGATGGTGGATGGTGGATGGTCTAGTATATTAGTCTCTTATGTGCATCGAATATCATTGAGTGAGATATTCATGAGACTGTGATGATTGGCCTTTCTTTGTAGGTATGCATAGATAGTATACTTTGAGAACTTGCACGATTTTGGGGTTGGAAGGTAAATAAGAGAGGATATTTTTTGTTCGTGGTTTTCTGTGATGTTTCGGAGCGTAGCGGAAGAATATATGTAATATCTTTGTTACTATATTGTATATAAGAGCTTGCGCAGTCACCCCCCCCTTTTTTTAAAATGATATATCTTCCTCTGGGGTGGCAATTTGTATGGCGCTCTTCTTATTGTACTTTCATTTCTGACCCAAAATTCCTTCTGTAACATTGTCATTGTCATTGTCATTGCTATCAACGTGATATATATCTACAGATCATAGCCATCCATCCATTTCAGTTTCAGTTGCAGTCGCAGTCGCACTGCCAATCCACAAGATTGCAATCGCCATCGCCATCGTAGTCACAACAAAAACTCATCCTTGACATCCTACCCAGAAAATCCACACACATCCAGATCTTCCATAGGTACCTAGCCAGAGAATTCCTCAAATCAGAATTAGGAGACTCTCGAGAATGAATTTCAATACACCTCGGGATACCTCGCTAGTACCCCAAGCTCCCTTGCGAAATATCACACATGATGAATGAGTTGGAAGCGAAAATGAGGTTACATACGTCTTGGTTGTGAATGGGATTTTGAACCTGTGATTGAGGGGAGGGGTAGGTAGATGAATATGATATGTTGTAATTAGGTACGTCTAGTATACCGATATGCATCATGCGGAATATTCATCATGCTCGTCTTGCTAGTATGTGAATGGTTCATTTGATGCGCACACTTGACTTGAGTTTCTATTGATTGTAGAGTTTGTGGAATTTAATTCGTGCGTCTAGGTATGTAGCACCTTGTAACTAATTTTGTAGAGTATCGTGATCTTTGTTACTATTTGATATCTAGGTCTTAATCAGAGTATATGATATATGATATTATAGATCTTTCAGTCAAGGGTTTTAAACACCGTTGTATGTGTTTAATAGAAGATGAATGCAGAATAGGTATATATTGATCAGAATTGAAAATCTAGGATAATTCGACTAGATTCGAGATGCAATTTTTCGGGTGAGAATCGAATTTCGTCTAAACCATTAGATCTCTCGTTTACTTCGAAAGCGACGAGATGATGGGTCTGTAAGATTCGAAGATTGTAAGTTAGGAATATAAGAGAAGGGTATCTATTGCAAATCATCAAGTCTAATAATATTAGTAAATAAAGCCTCTGCAGTGATAGAAGCCGTGGGGGAAACTCTCTAACTAAGGATTATCGTAGCCACTTGTATGTTATCACAAACTGAACAGTGAGGATATTTACTGTGAACTATTTCCGTCTGGCTCATAATACGATCGAGCTATCTTCCCAACTATAGCTGTCCGTGTCTAAATGATCTCATGCGAACTATTTCGGCACGCAATGAATAATTCGCCTATCATTCGTATATAAAATAAAAATAAAAATGAACAAACGTCACATCACTACAATTATTCACTCCACTCCACTTTATTCTCCCTTACTAATCTTCCCATATCAGCCAATCACATCCTGACTTCCCCACTAACCCCTCCAAAAAGCCGAGTTATCAATATCTACCTACCTAGGTATCAATATCAATATCAATATCAATATCAATATCAACATCAATATCCCGAAACACACTCTTCCTTCTCGCTTTCAAGAAGAGTCTACCTACATTTAAACCGCAATCCCCCTCCACAACCATGGTTCTCGTCCACATCGTCCTCTTCGAATTCAAACCTTCCACTCACAAAGATCAAATCGACGAAGTATGATAATCTCCCCTTCTCCCTTGACCCGCCAAGCCTACCCAAATAACATGATCACCCATCCCATCCCATCCCAACTCCTCTCCTTCCCTCAAAATATCAACTAACGAAACAAAAACCAAAAGCTATGCAGACATATGCTCTCCCTCTCAACTCTCTGCATACACCCGGAATCTCATAAACCGTATATTCTCGAAGCTTCGGGGGGGAGGGATAATTCGCCAGAGGGCCATCAAGTAGTGTTACACCCTGCTTTTTATATTACTTCCTATTACTTCATATTGCATCCCATCCCATCACATCTCATCTCATCATATCCCATCCCATCTCATCTCATCGTTAAAATCACCATACTATACCTACGATCCCGCCCTTCTTCCCAACATCCCTCATCTCACTCGTCTAATTTCTTAGTCCCCCCCCTCCATCTCCTCTTCTCACCTTATTACCATACCTCATCTCACTCCACATTCCCAAACATCATCCAAGTATCACCTAACTAATACTCAACTCCTCCTCCAAGGGCGGTTTCTCCCACGGTTTTGTGTTTCATTTCGCATCCACCGCCGATCGAGATTACTATGTGAATGAAGACCCAGCACATCAAGAATTTGTCAAGAAAGCGGGAGGTATATTGCAGAACGTTAGAGTTGTGGATTATGAAATGGGTGCTTTCTAGAGAGCGGAGTTGGGGGTTGCGGAAGTTGAGTGATGGAAGGGGTGGGATTGGAGATGTAGGGGATGATGGTAATGGAAACGTGATATGGATACCAATAATATAAATGGAAGAATTGAGACGGAAGAAATGAATAGTGCTAAAGATGATTAGAAGCGAGAAACATTTGACAAAAATTCATTACTGTCATGAAACTTTGTCTGCATTAAGTATCGATATGCTGTACAACTATATGCAAAGTCTATCCTGCCTGTGAGGTATCACTGTCCCTAATTGCCAATCCGAAAAAGTATACCACCGGAGCGTGCTTATACACGCAGGTCGGTTCCCTCCAACGCCAACTGAAACGCCATCCAATGCATGCCCATGCTTATGCCCATTATATCACAAATCTAATACTGTCGTATTTATCGTATCATCAATTATAAACCCTTGGAAGCCCTCTTTTCTGCTTCTCGTGCTGCTGATTCGTCTTTTGTCATGAATGATTCACCGCACCCACAGGATTTGTCTGTGCATTGTTAGTCGGAATGGCCAATGAATGAGATGACATTGAATGAGAGATATAGTGGAACTTACCGATATTTGGATTGTCGAAAACGAACTTTGCGCTTAGTCTATCCTCGACCCAATCCATTGTGCTACCAATAATCTTGAGCTGTGCGGTTGGATCAATGAGAACTTTGACACCATCCTGCTCATGAACAATATCGCTGAGGGCACCTTTCTCAACATATTTCAAGTCATAAGCCGAACCACTGCATCCACGGGCTGCGACACTGATCTTGATGAGTTTCGCTTCAGGTTGGTTGCTCAAATCGCGCAAAACTTCGACGGCTCGTGGGGTAAGAGTGATGGTTTTCTTAAGAGGAACAAAGTTGAACTGTCGCCTCTTCTTTACAGGCTTTGACTTTTGGGCTTCCGCTTCGGTGATAGCAATCGAAGGTGGGCGAGTGTCGTGAACTTGTGGAATGCCTCCGGTGATGGACGTTTCCGGAAGAGCGGCTTCGCGGGCTGGTGGTGGTGGCGGAGGGGTAGAGAGAGTATATGTTTGCCAGGTACTGGTTTGCATCTTGCGTTTTGCCTCAGCGCCTGCGACTCGGGAAGAAGAGAATTGACGAATGATGTGTGAACATTGTCGTAGAGGGGCCGATGGTTGTGATGAGGCAAATCTGAAAATGATGGGCGCTGATGATGTCAGAGGAGCAACCGCTCTTTGTAAAGACATGTTGAGGACAGGTCTGACTATCGATATGTTGAAGTCAAAGTATTGGGTGGAAGAATGATATATTAAAGGGTTTGAGATGTTATGTTAAGGGTTGTTAATCACATTTGTAGTATTCTTATTAGAATCCTTTAACTTCCTACCTAGCCTGTTCTTAGAAATCATGGGCTCACTCAAAGTTCAGTTCGGTTCAGGTCGGGTCGGATCATAGTTTTACCGAACCAATGGTAATGGATCTATTGTAAGCAATTCAAAGACAGTACAGATGAATCACAAATGATACATACTAGGTATTCATATGGTATGACCAGGATTCACTGAAGCTGACAAAAGCAAGAACATTTTGAGGTATTGGGAGGAAAATTAGACGTTTACCAGAACATCGAATAAATCCATCTCAAGGAAGGGGACCTTCACTCCAAAACCAGGTCTTCTCAAAGAAAGTCTGAACGTCC